ATGTTGTTTATAAGAAAGTTTCCCATTATCTAAAAATGTGATGTTGTCGTGTGTGGTGTTTTACGTTACAATGTCACTTTTTTAATATATTTGCTTTAATTAATTTACTATCCACAACAAACAAACATTTATCTAAAACAAAATGATGAACTATTTATATGTTGTATAAATATATATATCTTAAAAAGTATTCAAACGTTCTCAAAATTCGTCTGGGGTAGAGTCCCGATAAAACATTAAATTTTACACTAATCATATGTTCGATCAAAAGAAATATTGATTAAATTTCTTCACCAAGGCGGTGAGTGTGGTTTATAAGAAAGTTTTTCAAAACCAAACAATGTGATGTTTGGTGTGCATAGTGTTTTACATTACTATATACGGAGTAATGTTACTTTTAATATATTATCTTTGACTAATTTACTATCAACAATGAAAGAATATTTATTTAAACTAAAATGATGAATTACTTATATGTTGTATAAATATATATATCTTTCAAAGTGTTCAAGTATTATCAAAACCGGCTCGGGGAAACGCTCGGGTGTACGGCATAGGCTCTGCCACGAGGCCCACAAATGTACGTACATTTTGTTCTAAAATGATTAGCAAAGTCAACTTTTCTTCATCAACTAATTTTCACTTTATCTACTTACTTACCATATCAATTTATTATTATATGGTATCAAGGTCAAATTGATCTATAACCCGATAATCATGGTGTGGCCCCCATATGAAAAATGACAGTGCAATTTCAAAAAATGACAATGATGAGACGATAAAAAATTAAAAATGAACGATGACACGACCTAGATCGACGAAATGTCTGGTCATAAGGAGGGGTGTTAAAGTCTCATACCGTTAAAAAGGGACGTGATATATTATGATTTTGTACTATTTCTCCTATCAAGTTGACCTTTCAGAATGGAACCACACATTTTAATAATTTACATATTCGGAAACTACATTAAATTTTATAAGGTTGCAAATTCAAATTAGAAAATCTAATATTTAACAATCCATAGGATATGAATGATTGAAAATTATCAATCTAAAATCTAAAATACCATAAATTTTAATGTTTTTATTTTAACATATTTAAATATTATATAATCTTATCAATCTAATGAACTCTTTGACCAAAAAAACTAATGAACTTTCGTGAAGAAAAAATCATTAAAAATTAATAATGAAATTGATAAAGATCAGACATAAATAAATCAAGATCCTATCCGTGATATTTTAGACTTTAGATTATATTGATAATCTTCAATCATTCGACAAATTTATCTTTTAATTCAAAGGAGTTTATGAGCCTGTTTGGTAACCCAGTTTTTCGGCTTATCAGGCTTATCAGCCAACTTTTTCACCAAACACGTAACTTTTGAGTTCAGCGTTGGATTGTGTAATAATAAGAAAAAAAAGGTTGAAATGACTTTTCTAACTTTATTGGTTGAAGTTACTGTAGATGACTACTTTAATTATTCTTTCATGTTATTATCTTTATTTTACTAATAAAATATATTTTTAATATAATTTTTTCATAAATCGGTAGAATCAGCCAATCCAGCCACTTCAGCCAAAATTTCATGAATTTCAACATAAACAGCCTATGTAGCCGATTTGAGTATTATCAAACGGGCTCTTTATTACTAAACTCCTTTGAATTAAACTTGCCAAGGAGGTGTTATTCCATCTAGTAGAGAGTTGGATCATTCAAACTTTCGAAGTCCGATCCTGTCCAGGTTAATCTGAGCCACTATAATTTCTGATTGTGGCCTTAATTGCAGGTTAATAGGCTAATAGGATGTGTTAGATTTTTGGGTAGCCAGGTTCTAAATCGAGGTGTCTATATAAGACTGAGGTTCGTGTATCATACTCATGAGTTCATAACCTTGTCCCACCCTAACAAAGTTCAATTTAAACTTTTGGCTAAAAAGTCAAATATACCATGTATTTGTCATAATTCAACTCCTCAACAAAAAAAGAAGTCCAAAAAACATGAAAAAAAAAATCAAATACTCCCTCCGTCCCATAAAATTTTTCTCATTTTCCTTTTTGGGTCGTCCCAAAAAATTCTTCCCACTTATCATTATTGGACAATTTATGTGGTTCACATTCATTTCACTTATTTCTTACACAATCACAATCATACATTTCCACTTTCTTAATCTCCGTGTCAAGTCAAACTGGGAAGAATTTTCTGGGACGGAGGGAGTATCAATTTCTATGGAACGATTAACCGCCATGTCATCCATTGTGTACTAGTTGTACATTTGACTTGTTCATTTTACCCCCATCAACTTTACAAAAGTTTTAAAATAAGAACAAATTCAAAATAAAAAATAGAATAAAATACTACTAGTACGTAGTATTAAAATAATTAAAATGAAATATAATTTTATAAAGTACAAATTTGATAAAAAATATTTATATTTTAAGTTAACTCAGAATATTGATGTAAGAAAATAATAATACAAAAATATCTTTTATATGTAAATTTTGACACTAATACTATACACTTAAAAAAATTATACCTTTCATTTTCTACATCATTCCTTTTTATATTCATATTTCAAATTTATCTATATATTATATTTGGTATTTAATAATTTCAATCATGTAAATATCTTAGGTTTTCAATTTTGTGTTTACATACACATTTATATTTTTCAATATTTTTAATTTGTATCTCTATATACAATTTGTGTTCTGTATTATATACATACATATATATATATATAGGAAAAACTTCCGGTAAGGTATACCTTACCGGAACCGCCGTGCGTCCTCCACGTTTTGAGGGCCTTCCCGGTGGAATTTTTCGATGAAATTGTTTGAGCGTGTTCTTCATCAAGTCTAGTACATCCATACCAAATTTCAGCAAAAAATTCAATCGGGAAGGCAGTCAAACAATTTTTAGAAGATAACTGCGTTTTATATGTATATAAAGGGTGCAGTTATCTTCCAAAAATCATTTGACTGCCTTCCCGATTGAAATGTTTGCTAAACTTTGGTATGGATGTACTAGACTTGATGAAAAACATGCTCAAAAAATTTCATCTAAAAATTCCACCGGGAAGGCCCTCAAAACGTGGAGGCCGCACGGCAATTCCGGTAAGGTATACCTTACCGGAAAAGTTCCCATATATATATAATTTGATATTTATATTATAAATAATATTTTTTATTTAAGGTTTTATATTTTATAACATGATTTTTATTATTATTATATTTGTTTTATCATATTTCAATGTACTATTTTTAAACATTTGACATTTTGAAATATAAAAACATAAAGTATAAACCCTTAAATTGAAGACCTAAAAGGATTTATAAATACCAAGTACTAGTGTACTACATATAAAACATATGGAAAAATATACTCCGTATGATACATAAAATTAAACATATAAATGAAATCTAAAGTACAAAATATAAATGTAAAGACATAGATATAAGTGTGAATATAAAGTTTAAAGTAGTGTTTATTTTTTTTTGTTTATATTTGGCTAGCTCTTATATTTTTATTACTTTATTTTATATTTATTTTCAACTTTTTCAATTTTAATTTCAATTTGTATTAACTTTGACCCTATTTAAAAGGTTTAGAGTAAGGGTGGACCCGGTCCGGACCAGGTCCGACACTTTTTGGGAAACAACCGGGTCAAAAAATTCTGGTTTCGGGCCTGGGGCTGGCCCTGTCCGCCAAGAGGGCTACCCGGTGTCGGTTCACCTATTTGGAGAGCGTACCGAGCGGTTCTAGTCTCGATTTCGGTCCAAGAATGGTGTTTTTTTTGCCTTGAATCCCAGACCGGTCCCGAAACCAGCCTAGAACCGGAATTTAGTGAGTCGGACCTAGACGTCACCCATTTTTGCAAGAACCAGGAGGTCTCAGCCCGGAACTGGGACTGGACGAACCCGGGACCATCCCTAGTTTAAGGGGTAAACTAAACAGGTCTGACGGGTTCAAGGGTTTATTTGGACATATCATTTCCACTTCACGGTTATCTAGTGTCGTGGCGGTTAACCTGTTGTTTAGCGGTGAAAAATGAAGTTTGAACTTTTTAAAAAAATTAAGGTGCGAATTTAAACTTTTTTTTAGTTTAGAAGCTAAATTCAGCATTGTACTACCTTGGTACAGCCGTACCAAGGTACCATTTGACCATTTGACCCTTTAGGCTAAACTTTTTCTCATAAACATTATTAACTTTGATCATCTTTTTACATAAATTGTACTACCTTGGTACCTACTAATGTATCTTATGTCAAATTTGAGGATCACATGGGGCAAAACTAAATCATTCTGAACAACAACAACATCCAAGCCTTAGTCCCAAACGAATTCTGAATAACAAATAAACTAATTTTAATGTTTAAATTCAGATATCTAATAGATACACTATTGTTTTTTTTTTTTGGAAACACAAAATCAAGAAATAAAATGAAACTGAGTTGAACGCATGAAGAGTGAGTCTAACATAAAAGTGACAAATAACTAGGAAACTGAGTTGAACGCATGAAGAGTGAGTCTAACATAAAAGTGACAAATAACTAGGGAGTATTATTTTATAATGTGAGAGGAATATTGACCCATTCGTTTCAATGAGTATTTTTGAGATACTAAGCTAAATTCTTATTTAGTATCTCAAAGGTTGCTCATGTTCTTGTAAAGGCGGCTAACTGTTACTATAACTGATCGTGATGTTTTCTTTGATTCTATATAAACATATGACAGTTAGCGAATGATCTATTAATACAAATTCTGGCACGATTCACCTTAAAAATTCTTAGTATACGCCTCTTGATGCCCCATTTCTAGTCCTAGACAAGCTTCAATTTCAGCTTCCTGTGGATATATCCAGATATTTGGGCCTTCTCAGACATGACCGCTTTCGCCTGCCTCACTCTCACACAAACATGAATATAACAATCGCGTATTAGCATTTTTTGTCTGGTCAGCTTTCTGTTTAGGCACAACCGCACAAGGCATTCAGTAAAATGATTTTTTATGCTGAAGAACAGCCAAAGAACTTGAACATTTGTAATTTTGTATAATATAAATATCAACATCTTTGAAGGTAATAAATACAGCTGCAAGGGTTCGGGATTTAGTCTAGTAATATAAACATCTAATACAAACTTAATCTAAAACCATTTGGGTATTAATCCGAGCATAAATTGATATACATTCTATAGGCACTTGTCTGGGCAGAATAATAGCCGTAAACAAGTGTTTCAACTACACAGACACAGAGTTACTTGTTTAGCTTCACAGCTGCAGTTCTTGAGCGATCAACATGGAGCTTTCTTAAACAGCACTTCTCCAAAGCCTTTCTTGTACAGTCTTTCACGGATGGTTCCTTGAACATTCAAAAAGATAATTAACAAGATGTCCACCCCATATAGTTTTGTGATTCTTGATCTACCATAAAAACACATACCGTTTTGGACTCGGGAAATACGGAAAAGAAAGAAAATGTATGAATAACTATTTTCTGATGTAAGAATTTACCTCGGATAATGCATAAGGGAAAATAGAATTCGGTTGATGTGTTTGAAAATCTTACATATGTTTTTAGGTTGTGTAGTATTCATAGGATAAACAAAATGAACTCAAACAATTAATATAAATTTAGCGAGCCTCGAGCATTGTTTTAATTTCCACTACATCGTCTTTCCTCCCAAATTTCTCTAAACCTATCCTTCCTACTTTCATTCCATCACATTTCCCTCATCCCAAACGAACCTGAAGTGTTTTTAGAATTACAGAAGCAAAATAAACCGAGACAGAATGAATGTACTTTCCTCAACATAATTAGAGTCAAAATTTCAGTATTTATTAAATAGAACTGTTCCAAGAAGTTGAAAACTATTTCTGCCTCACGCCCTCACGTCTATAAGAAGATTCATTTTCCAACAACGTACAACTCTTTCAATTTTGTAAGGTACAACTATTGATTTTTCTATTGGTAAAAAATGATAGATGTAGCATACTTGTTTTGGAGACTCTTGTTTTGGAAAAGCATGCTAAAACACCCCATCATGTGAATGTGGCATACCCACTTCCCCGGCTATAAACCTCTTGAAGTTATGTATCTATCTTTGGTTTTAATAAAACCAACAAGACATAAGTCCAAGATACCGTATATGCATTCAAAGGCCAAGACTTGTCAGTGAATAACTTGCATGTAATGTACTGGGCTGAAGTGATGAATTTAATGCTATTTCCAATTCGTCCCGAAGTAAAATAAGAATAGAGTGCTATTTGAACATAAGAATCTAATTATAGTTGTAATTGATGTAATTTCATTTCCAAAAGAAGGGTGCCCCAAACAAGTTTTAAAATTTATGATATATTGGTATAACTAGATTTACCTATGCTACCAACGGAACGGCGTACTGCGAATATAAGTTGGCAAGAGTGGGGCTCTCTCTGGAACTGGGTCATCACCATTGTTGCCCATGGACTCAACCATGGCATAGAGAAGCAGTGCAAGAATTGCACAAATTGACTGCACGTCAAAAAATAATTGCACAGTAGGAAGTTACAAATAACTCAATAATGAGACATTATTTGTAGGGTCACTAGGGTGCATGTAAGGCTAGTCAGACACGGAACGAAGCCCGTTTGGAATCAGATAGAGAAAATAGACAGTTACATGGTGAGACGTCAGTAAAAAGCCTGCCCAAAAGTAAAGTTCATTGTTATTTGCAATGAAACTGTTGATCTCATCAAGCCCTCCAGTCCAGTCCTTGGGAGAACTCTGATTCAGCCAAACAGATTGGAATCCAGCAACCAAGAAATTTGTTAAGATATAATACATTGAGGTGCTATTTCATATGTAGAGTGCAGAATAAATTTGAATACCTCTCTCCAGTCTTCGTTCAAGAATAGGCGAACTTCCGTCAGGATAAGAGAAAACATCAAAGCACAATACTATACCAATTAAGGAAAAAAGATGATCACATCGAGCATTTTTACAAAAACAATTTAATTATGTTCTAATAACTATTGGTGGCTCTAGATAGTTGAACATAAATGAAGCCATCAGATGCGAACCTCTGTTTAACACTTTAACTAATCAATCAATGAACATTAAATGCTGTGCCAACTAATGAAGGGATGATAAATATTTACTTCCCATATATGCTGGATAAGAATAGCATACAAGGAATGTGACTTGCAGTCACACTTTCTGCAAAAAAATTGGACTGAAGTTGCACACAGCAGCTAAAATGGCGACTTTAAGTAATGTGACATGTAAAAAACAGAGAGCCTCTCATTCTTTATCAGTAACACTATGCTCTTATGCTCTATCAGTATTCCTATTTGGGTACTTATTGGCATAACTTCCTGTGATAAGTAGTTCAAAGTGGTTAAGTTTTGTACTTGTGGCCCTTGAGTCAACATTCTAAGAAGAAATGTCAGTAACAGCTAAAGCACACACATAAGCTTATTCGATATAGAGGATACAGAGGCCAAACATGTTTTATTTGCAGTCACTGCACCAATGTGGCCTACACGAGCCAAAAAACAGAAAGCTATGCCAACACAAACAGAGGTGTATAAGAACCTGGCATACAAATGTAAAGATTGGTAGTCATTACTAAGAACTTGAGCAAATATACCAACAGAAGAGTTTAATAGGTAATGATAGTATAGAAGAAGTTGACCAGAAACATTAGCGCAGCCTGATTGTAATTTTAAAATCCTGATTGATGGAATCAAAACTTGGTTCACATATGCACCAGAAAGAGTCACTATCCGAGAAAATTACAGTAACGATGTCCTCACATTCCCTCGATCACTCCACAAAACAGTAGAGTTGCTTTTAACCACAGGAAACATATACAGTCCCAAAACCACCAATCCAGCACCGTAACTCCAAATTTAGCTATGTTCGCTGGAATGTAAGAAAAACATCATACACAAGAGGACAGCAGAAACGTACCAAAGGCTGGGTTCATCATCTGGGCTAACTCTGTTATCCATGGAGATAGAGTACCTCCGGTAAGCGTACGCGAGGATGGCAAGGCCGGTGTAGCCAACCAGACGGTTGACCGCCTTAAGAAGCAGCTGAGTGCAGATCCGAACGATTTGAATGGCCATTTTGACCGAACAGGTTTGATTTGGGCGGATTGGACGAAGCAGAAACAAGAGAGCCTAACCCTATTATATAGTATCGAAAGAGGATGCGAAAGGGAGAGGAGTGGGAGTGTAGGCTCGGGATTTGTGGCAGGTTTGGAGCGAAACGGCTGTGACTGAGAGTCCGCCATTGCTGAGACGGAAGTGTGTCGTAAGCTCATAAATGGTGGACGGACATCTGTTTTCCTTTGGAGTCAGCATTTGTCTCTCTCCTTCATGCAGGGCTACTCCTCTCTCCGTTTCTCTACTTTTTTTATGTTCTTCCATCGGCCGATTTGGTGTTAGCTGGGGTCCATTTTTCTTTTTATCTCGCCCTTTTGTAACGTAACATCTACTTTTAAAATAATATTTTACAATAATATTACTAAAATAAAACATATTTACATAAATATGACTATTCATTACTACAATGTGGTGTTGTGGTAACTTAAGCTCAAAACTTGAACATGAATTACTATGATTTCATTACTACTCTAGTCACTAATCATATTTTTGTAAATTATCTTTATTTTGATCATATTTATGTAATTATTTCTTTCTTTTCTAATTCATTTTTATTTTCATTCCATTTTCATATATTTTTCTCCTCATTTATTTTTTCATTTTGAATGAATCTATTCACATATCCAATATAAACTTAAAATACTCTCTACTTCTCATTTTTTCCCTTTTCCAACTAATATTCATTATAATCTATCCACTTATATTAGATTTGATTTTAAGTTTGTGTGGTACACGCGCAACTAATATTATGTGAAAATTAAGTTTAAGTTGTAGTGTATAATTGTTTTCAAAAGTAGTTTAACAAGTTCTATTCATCTCATTGTTGGTACAAGAATTTGACACCATGGACTACATTTACAATGCTTGATCAAGGCAATTAATGACGTATTTATTAGGATTAATTCTAGCTGACTATTATAACGGTTTTTATGTGTATAATGAGAGCTATTAATGTAATTAAGGCATAGGTTATTCAAATGGCTGACCGACATTAATGACGATATGATGACGATTTTGATGTCGTCGTAACGGTCGAAACCGTCAATAACAGGCAAAAGAGATTAAATACCTCCACTACAAGAAAATTACACTTTCCCTATAAATTATATTTGTATGGAAAGATCATTTTTTGTATGTTAAGTTCTTTCCCTACAATTTTCTTTCGTGGTATGATTTGTGACGCAAACCTTGTGGGGAAAGGTTTAAGGACACAAATATTAGAACTTTCTATGCAAAGATATAGCAAGACAAATCTTTAGCACACAAACAAAAGTCATTGGCTTAACTCTTTTGTAACAAATATATCCATGGGAAAAAAGTATTTACACCAACAAAGTATCTTGTATGGAAAAATTCAAGAATACAAGTTACAAAATTATTGTAGGTACGTAAATTTGTAGCCTTATACTTTTACATACAAAAATTACATTGCATTGAAATCATATTCCTACAACCACAAAACCGTACCCATTGGTAATTGTATCTATAAAATCCAATTTAATAGAGAAAAGTAATCCTAAAAAAAAATTGAAACCAAATTAATTATTGAGCTCTACCTCTATATACACATCACATAATACTTATAAAATACTCCAGTTGAATATCAATGAAATAAACATATGTGTATGAAGTACCAAATCCACAAAAACATCAGATAATTGTTATCTTCGTTTATACATAACGAAGCACAAAAGCAGCATCTTAAAAAGTATTGTTTTAGTTTAGAATAAAACGTTAACATAACATAAAACAGTCACTCCTTGCTATGAGTATCTTAATCAAGATTATATGATTCATCTTCAGCCTCATCCACGTCAACTGATAATGCCGTAAATGGTGGTAGAACAAAACCAGGAACGTTACTATACGACTTTTGTAGTGAAGTGTGCCAAGCCTCCAATGTTGAGTTAAACTTTTGTCCCATAACCTTCAACTTTTTTTGTAACCTTTTCTCGGTTTCCAATCGGGCATTTTCTGCAGCTTTTCTTGCAGAACGCTCAGCTGCTAACTCATCCTCCATACGCTTTTGTTTTAGATTGGTATCTCGAAGACGTCCATCTCCTAATCCACGAATTCGCCGCCCAGGCTTTTCACCTAAAACAGATACCATAATGTTAAGTCCAGCGTCAGGATTATCAACAGGCACCTCTTCTAAGGGAGTATCCTCAGGAAGCTGTTGCTCTCTTATCACATCCAAGAGATATTCATCTGTTTTTGCTAGCATTTCATCCTAGAAAAGATTTACACAATGTTAATTAATACCAGCACATTATGATAAATGTCATTTTTGCTGAAAATACTAGTTCCTATTACAATAAATCATCATTCTCATATACACATATCTGGTTAGTCACAGAAATTAAAATTGCACTATTCACAACTGAAATAAAAAAAATGAAGATCCATTATAGATTGTCAAAGTGTATAAATTCCACTACTTTCCGCATAACTCAATGAATATTATATAAAATGAAGTTCACAAGTCACAACAGATGAATCATGCCCAAGAATACTTGTGTATACCTCAACTTTTAACAAATAAGAAAACATATTATGGTAAACAAAGTTCTGAAAAGATGTGACTATATTAGAACACACACCATGAGATAAAAACAAGCTTGCACAGTAACAAACAAGTAGTTATAAAACATATTATCTAACATTTGTTACATTATTTCAATCTCAAACATATTCTCGCATGCTCTCCAAGTATACAAGTTGAAACATAGTATCTTACATGTTGAGCCTTAGCTTCATCACTCGTCCAAGCCTTGTCTTTTCCAGAATAGGTATATTCAAATGTGTCAACTTCAGGAAATTTCGAACCGCCCTTAAAGAATGAGAAATGTCTCAATTACTGCATATATGGAAAACCCAATATTTATGCAAGTCAATAACTATTTTTACAATATAATAATTACCGCTGCCATTTCCTCTACAATGTATGCAATGGGACGAGAACCAGTGCGGTGGTTGTGTTTTTTCTTAGATCAGTTGCTTGTGTTTGCCGTGGAGGATTTCTGTACAAGATAGAATTTAATTAGAGCATGAATATCTCATGTAATCACAAACTATAAAAATTAGGCAAAAAGAAGATAATATACCAGGAATTTTTCGGAACTAAAATGATCACATAGTTTAATCCACTCATCTGCACTTCTATCTTGCATCTCTGTAGGGGGGTTTTCAAGTGCATTCTCAAGTGTTTTGCAGGACTTGAAATATTTACTCAGTTCAGCCTTAAACTCTATATACCTTCCAGCATATAGCCTTAAGATATAATCTTTCATTTCCTTGTCTTTTAGATCCACTTCAAAATTTGTCTAACATGGATTTAAATAGGCAATGATCATGTCTAAAATAAAATAATAACTGCATACTGGAATAACAATGTTAAAAGATATACTGTAAAAAGAAAAAGTTGAAGTACACAACTTAATAGAGAAACATTTCAAGGAGGGCTAAAGCCTAACCTCAATTACATGATTTCTTTAAGGGATGCACATTTAGATCTATGTTGCTAGACATTTAGTGAGGGATGAGATTTTCTTTGTCCATTGGCTCAATTACCATTGGCTTCACCACTTAATGCTTCATCGTTATCTCTTTGTCCATGAAAAGTGCTGCCTTGTGGTGATACTATAAAACCTCAAAGATTTGTTAATCACATTAGTAAAGCTAATAAATCTTAGAGGTTAGTTTAAATAATAAAAAAATGAAACAATCAATGTTTTAAAAAAGTAAAATAAGATTAGAACATATTAACTAAGTATATAAAAATACTATTGAACTAATGTTTTACCATAATAATTTAACAATAAATACTAACTGCATACCTCCACTTGTGTGAAGTGTAGAACTATGATGGACAAAACTTGTGCGATGCAAAGTTGGAAAGTCAAAGTCCTGGGAGGAATCATGGCCACCTATGGAAGAAGTATTGGGATGCGAAGTGGCCCGTACAACCTGATTTTTAGGAGCAGTACCAGTCGAAAGATTTGATCTTGGAAATGTTGAGTTAGTTTGTGTTCTAACTTCTTGAGTAGGAAACATCACGTTGTTGACAAGTTGATTTCTATGAGGTATGGGAGCAGTGCACCTCTTTGGTTGCAATGAGTTCCTAAGTGAAAGTGGAGATATAAACGTATTATTTGGTGATTTTTTATTTACAACCTGTGACTTTAGTACGGGAGGAAAATCCGTTGTTGGCACTCTAGCATTCTTGTATGCCAAGGATGCAGTTGAGTTGATCCCTTTCTTCTTTTGGGAAATGAGGCGCATCTGTAAAAAAAAACATAAACTCATCACATTACAAATGATACAATCAATAAACACAATACTTCATATTGAATAAAATTAAATAGATTTTTTATAAATTTACTCAAGGCTAAAAGAACGTGAATCTTAAGATACTCAATAATCCAAATCACTATCTTCATCAAGAGAATCTTCAAAGTTCCCCTCAACTAAACCGTTTGCATCAGTGACATACTCGTCATCTGAATCTATCTCAACTTGTGTAGATTGGAGATCATTCATTTCTTCCGCATCAATCATGATTGGAGGTACATCACTTGAGATAAGTGGTATTTGAATATCATTGTCATTGCAAACATGTAATATGCTTGGTATGTCAGAACAACAACTCTCTTGGTATGCCACAACATTAGAATGATCATCATTAAAAGTGTGCTCAAAACCATCCTTTTGAGGCATATCATATATATTTCTATGATTCATCCTTTGAACTAATTTTCAATCAAATGTATGCTAGTGAAGCTCAAAATGAAACTTTAAAAATAATAATAATAATAATAATAAAGTAAACTAAAGTATTACTCCGTATTAGAGTTAGAAGATAACAACTACCTTGAAGCAATTTGGATGGAAGGCAGCTCTACCAAGAAGAGATAATCCTTGAACTATTTGATGGAAACATGAAAAGACATATATGTGTGTTAGAAACTTAGAATATAAAATCAAATGCACTATCAACTAAAATTACCTAAATACATATGTCAATTGAAAGGGTTTTTTGTGCAAACAGTAATAGCCTGATAAATCAATGTCTAAATGTAAGGTTTCAGTTTGACACTTCCTAAACACCTAAATGAATAATACATGCTACTATACACTTCTGTACAATAAACATAAGCATATACGGTTTGTTCATAAATCAACATATGTACAATAAGAGTATGTAAAGTTTTCAAAAAAGACAACAACAAAAAATAAAAACAGAATTTAGAAAGACTTAACCAACAGAGTAATTTAACCTTGTATTCTTATAAGAACATTTATTATCATAACCATTTATTTGTAAATCAAGACATAATCTGATCTTCACCCTATGATTCTTTAAATTTATGGCTAACAGTAGTTGTTTTTTTGTATTTTTTGCAATAAAAAACTGGTGAACTATGAAGCCAATTGCCTCAAAAAACTGGGTATAATTGTATAAATGAACCACTTCATGGTTTTTTATTCTTCTTCACCCCTATCCTATAGCTAGTTCCTTCTTCTTTCTGTGGTTCCTTCTTTTTGTAGTTCATTCATCCTCTACTGACAAAATTTTAAGTGAAATAAAGAAATTAGAGATTAAACAATTAAGGAGATGATCTATAATTAACAAAAATCTATTACTACGGTATTATTGTTTACATTATTTTTTCTTCCTTTACCCCCTTTTAGCTCGTTTCCTTTTCTTCTTATCGTATCCCTTCCCCTCCCTAGTTCTTTGACCCCCTTCTATTTTTCCTTTAATTTCTGCTCGTTTTTACTTCTCCTTTGGAATTACCTTTCTATTATTCTAAATTCTCTAGTTCATACCTTAAATTAGTACTATGTTACCAATTCAACTTGACCTATAAATCAAGGAGCTCAAGGAGCGTAGATACCTGGCGTAAACCAATCTGGAGATTGAGGAACGGGAACAAAAATCAGCAGATCGTGCGAACAGGAAAGGCGGCAGGAGTAAAAGATATCGCAAATCGGTTATTGATTCTGGCCATACTCAGATTATTTAGGTAAAAAAAGGAGGGAAAATTTTAGGTTGGGAGCCAAATTGAAGTTTTGATTAGCGCCAGGCGTTCGGGATAGTGCCGGAGAAATAGCCTAGCCGCTTGGTTAATTGTTATTCCGTAGGGAGCGTTTTTGTTTTTTGGTGACTACTTCCTTATTATGTTTATAAATTTATATTTATTTATTTATTTATTTATTTATTTATTTATTTATTTATTTATTTATTTATATACTCCGTACATCCGTAATATTTAACCTTTTTTTAAATTGCATTTACGTAATGCGTATTATTTAACTATTTCTTCCTTAAAAAAAAAACTATTTCTTACTCCGTAGTTTTTAGGCAATCTTTTCTAGATTAAATAAGTCTCTGTAATTTAGTTGTAATTCCCATTTTACTTAAGAAACTTGGGTTAAATGTAAAAATCAAAATTGAAATTGGTCTGGCCTCATACAATTCGTATTTGACGGAGTATCGTCGATTTGTTTTCTTAAAGTAATGCAAAGTATCTTGTTTGAAAATTTTAGCCATATCTTTCATAATATTAGTGATATATCTTTAACTTAAAAATTCACCTATTATACTCCGTAGACCTTAGCTAATAAAGATACACCTACATACAGCAAAACAAACTCTGTTCGTGAAGAGGAAAACCATCTTTGCCTAAGAAATATTGTTTCGTAGGGATATAAAACCTTACCCCACACATATTTCTTGTATGGAGAAGAAATTTTGTGTGGAAAGATAAGCACATACAGATCACTTATTTTGTAGGCAAAGAAAATCTTTAACAACAAAAATAATTTTGTGTGCAAATAATTTGTAGGGAAAGGAGGGAAATCTAGTAGTGGCTCTCTTATAAATAGAATCAAGCTCTATTGTAATCGGCAGGTCACTCATTCGAATAACACTCTAAATTTCACTCTATTTTACTCTCTTAGCATCTTTCTTGTTGTTCTTGTCATTTTCCATACCGTTCTTGTACGAGACACAATCTATATACATTTTTCATTCTAATTAGTTTTAGCTTATCAAAATTTTGCTAAAACACTCATGTTAGTACATTTGTACATGTCTATTCATATACATATTGCTATTATAATTTTCTCCGTACAATATTAAATTATTTTAATGACATTAATTATTATCATTAAAAATTACTAAACATGTAAAAGAATAGATATTTTAAATAATAAAAACGCATTAATTTTACATTTCGCGAGTAATAAGAGTAAGTTTTTTGTATATGAAGGGTGCGGCTCAAAATTGTGGTGATGAACATATTCACTTAGTTAAGTACGTAGTAATTACTTTTAAGAAGATGTAATAATGTTATTTAAAAGGAAAAAGGATCAAATAAATTTTTGTGCTATTTTCGAAACATCATTGTTTATATTATCATATTACTTTTCAAATTGATATGAATTTTTATAAGATTTATAAAAAATAATATGGTATAGCAATTCAAAGTGGCTTGATTGATTATATTTAAAAAGTAAGCATGCTTATATGCCGCTTTTTAGTAAGACTTACGTGATGGATCACAAATAGTAAAAGGGTCTATTTGATCATTTAATTTTTTTTATTTAAAAATTTTTTAAATTGTTTTTATAATTCTAAAAACAATTTAGAATGGACATGCTAGGCGGTGCATTCATTGTGGGCGGGTGCGCCACCATTCATCGGCAAAAAATAATCAAAAGTACGACTTATCCAAACCTAATTTAAGACAACTATTTCTACAAATAGCAAATAAAACAGAACAATCAGGGCAATGTGGTGTCCAGTGGCGTATCCAGGATATTCAGCCAGCGGGGGCAAATTTACATTAACGGTATCACACATATTTAAAAAATAAATATTAATTAAAAATTTGACAGTTGATTAAAAACAAAACAATTTTTTTATAAGAAACAAATGAAATATGTAATTATATGTTTATAACTAATTTAAGTTACAGATAAACAAGTGTGTTTTAATACTAAGTGCAAAAAGATGTGATTGAAATTACATGTAATTTATTAGTTACATTAAAATAAATTATTTTAAAACTAATTTGGATATTAGGTTTAGACATTCTATTGTTTATTTAAATACAAAACCAGAAATATATAAGAAATGGATGAAATATGTAATTATAAGTGATTTAAGTTACAAATAAACATGTTTTAATATTAATCAAGTGTGAAAATATGTTATTGAAATTCCATATCATTTATTAGCTACATTAAAAAAAATTAATTTGAATATTATATTTGGACAAACTTAATTTAAACAGTTTCAAGAAAGCATAAAAGGGGGATTCGAACCCTTGACACTTGAGAAGAGTGCGTGCCACTCCACCCACTTGGCTGCTGTGCTAGATTGGTCTAGTAGTGTTTTAATGAATACTTATACTATGTATAATACAATGATATATGTATACAAATAAAATTTGAAATATATATATAATGGGGTTGGGTGGGGGTTGAGTGGGGGCAGCTGCCCCCCTGCCCCCATAGTAGATACGCCCCTGGTGGTGTCCTGGTGTGGCTCAATTGGTTGGCCATTAGCCCCCAATTGGTTAACGAGTTTGTCCCTATAAAAGAACATGGAATTGACAGAGATTTTGGAAAGGATTTTAGTAGGGATTATGCGAAATCCGTGCCAACACTTTGGATCGAGCTATTAGCCACGAAAAGTCCGTAATCCGTGTCAAATTCCGTGTCAATTCCGTGTTTTTTTTGTAGTGTGTGATCGAAGAAGCAGTCTAGTTGCAATTGGCGTAAACCATGATGAATTTCATCATGATGAATTTAATGTTTAGGTACTTTAATTTGGAGATAGTTCATACATATATTGCCACAAATTAAAAGTACTTAAATGTAATAATAAAAACATGTAGCTACATACACATAAAACAATATGCTTGCTTTTGATATACAAAATAGTCATCATTATAATAAAAATCAAAATATATACGTAGTAAGTGATACTGTCGAATATAAATTTCATTGGGGTCAAAAACTTATAAATTAGGAAATTTATCTATTCTCTAGATTATTATGGAATCGGTTGAGTAGCAGAGTAGGCCATACATCCAACCAGAGTTTTTTACAAAGCAAGGCGTCAAAATAAAATGAAGAATTAAAATGATGATCTTAAGTTGAAGTCACAAACTAGATAATTTTGGTGACATTTTCGAATAGAAATCCTTTATCATCTGTTGACAAATTGATTGCTATCTTAATCAGTGTTTATTCTCGCTTCAAATGTCAGTTGTGATGAGTATTAGCTTCTTATTGAGAATTTGAAAGTGGTGATTAATTAGTTGCTATTTTATCAGGAACAACACTATGAACCAGTGGACTGACTTAATCAAAATGATTTGTAGTGGGAAGAGTGTTGGGAATTTAAAGGATTGCTCAAACAACTTCCGATTTAATCTTTCAAATAGTCAAAAATGAGTTTTTGAGAGTGGTTGAAGTTGCTCAAACAAAAACTAGGATTTTTATGTTTTATGATCGAAAAAGCTGCTTGAAGTTGCTGTTGTGTAGTGGTTATCACGTTAGTTTCACACACTAAAGGTCCCCAGTTCAATCCTGGGCAGCAGCAGCATAGTACTTCTCCATGCTACTATTTTGCAAGTGTTTTTATATTATTTTCTTCTTAGTTGACTTTCTATTTAGCGATTTGGCGTGCATTTTTGTATAAAACCATCCCGCAGAGGTACAAATCATGCACATGAAAGCCAAAGACCACCACATAGAAATAACTCCGATTGAGCACTAATATAAAGAGTCATTACACCAAGATAAAACTTTTACATTTTGGTACGCTACAACTATTGGAAATCATTTCTAAATTTATAACTTACTGGTTTAACATCTCTTGGATCGGAAGTCATTAATACTTGTTTGCGATCAGGAGCAGAAGTCGCAGAGCCAGAGGGATCGAGCCGAATTTTTTACGCAGAGTTTTTTAAACTAAAAATATATGCGGTTTTTAAATGTGGGATGTGTCGGGGCCTAGGTCGCCGGCACAAACATTGTAAAAACCACATTCTTTTGCTACAATTGGACTCTTAATGAATTAGTTTTTGGGACGGATAAAATTTAGCTTTGAACTTGTCACTGAAGTCCACTACATTAGCAAGAAATTTATTCACTGACAGCTATTTGACCTTTAAATAACTCTTTAGGAGAGAATATCTATGACTAATGGCTTGTAGGTTTTATTCACACCTTAGTTAAGATAGATGCATACAGTATGTGGAAAACATTAGTACTTCACACCTTAGTACTTCACAAGTTTTAACCATGAGCCATGACACATTGTTAATCTGGAAAACAGGGCTGCTGCATTTAGGGGTGATATGTGGAATGTTATTTTCTTGCATTTGGTCATAGGTTCATACCCGAAAAATGAAACATTCGATGTCTTCTATGTAATTACCGTATGTTTAGACTGGTGATTTTTTTATAGGCTAAAGGGTCAAATAGACCCCAGTATCGGTCGTGTAAGATCAATTCAGTCCCGAACTAAAAAAAGGTTCAATTCACACCTTGAACCGACAAAATATGGTTCAAATTTTATTTTTTATGGATAAACAACCGGTCATTTTTTAATTTTTTTATTGTTTCTGTTTTTTATTTTCGATTAATTGCAATTTTGCCACTTTTTAATAGTTTAGGGTGCAAATTGGACCTTTTTTACCGGTCGTTTAAACTTAAAAAATGAAATTTGAACCCTTTTTGCCGGTTTGGGGTGTGAATTAGATCTTTTTTAGTTCGGGGACTGAATTAAGTTTTCACAACTGGTGCAGGGTCCTAAAAACACAAATTTGTAAATCATTTTTCACACGGATGGAGTATATTATTATTATTATTACTTCTTGGTGTCGTGTATATT